AAGTTTTTCATCTCCGATAATAATGTTCCTCACAGTATGTACTTATTAACTTATAATTCTCTGTGGCATCTGTGGTTATAGTAAAGGCAGGGGTTGACAATCAATGAATTCTCATATCACTACTATAAACATGGAATCAGTTTGTTTAAATCCACAAAATCACTTTCTGGGAATTTTATTGAAATTTCATTGACTGTACAGATCAAGTTGGGAAAATGTGACGTCTAAATAATATTGAGACTTCCTATCTGTGAACATAGACTATTTCTCCATATTTTTAGATCTTCCATTGCTTTCCATTACATTTTATAGTTGTCTTCATTGTCCGTTGCTGAAATATAGGAAGGCAATTGACTTCTACATGTTTACCCTGTATCCTGCACTTATTCATTCCAGCATTGTTGTTTTATGTTTGTCTTCATGCTTTGTCAATTCTTTGGGATTTTCTACCTAGGCAATTATGTCAACCATGAAGAGAGACAGTTTTATTTTGCTCTTCCTTTGATATTCTTCTTCTGAGCTTTGTTTTGTTTCCTTCTATTTTATTCTTTTCCAGAAGCTGAGCAAAATTACCTTCTACCTAATTAATCTGTATTCTTGTCAAGGAGACCTTTAAGGCGTTATTATCAGTTTAGATTCACTTTAAATTAGATTCAGATCTTGAAGGATTTTTTGGCCAACTGATGATGCAAAATTTAAGCTGCAAATCTGAATGATGGACTGTGGTTAACAAACTCCATGAATGAATGGATGTTTCTCTCTCCACCACTGAGACAACTTTACTCTTCTTAGCAGGGGGTAAAGGATATACATTTAGTTCTGCTCCATCTTAATCTTAAGATATCATCATTCCAAACTCCATCTTAAAGAAAATCTAATTTTTGACTCCCACTTTTGTGGGACATGGCCTTAATTTTTTATCAGTCTCATCCTGTGATCCCCTCCAATCAGCAGCCTGGGTTTATAATCCCATCCAGATAAGTAAGTGTCCTCAGAGAAGAAGAAATTTCCAGTGTTCAACTGTGGATTCTTGTTCTCTCTTGGATTTGGTCCAGAAGACTCCTGCTGTATTTTAAGCTTGTAAATGCATTTTTGAAGATTATATATTTCAGGAAGAAGGTTTACTCAAATAATCTGATCACCACTACTACCAGAAATAAGAATTCTTAGCCTTCCTCCTCATTTCTTTCTCCTTTGAGTGTCCTAGGTACAAAACATCCAATAGTGATTTTTTATTCCTACAATTTCCCTTCTACTTGACTTGCTTATTCTATAGTGTTTTTGTGAATAAGTCATTGGCTGAATCTTAGCCTTGGTGGTATTCAAGAGAATCTTCCCTTAGGATACTGATTTTTCAGCTGCCCTGTGACCCATTAACACATTTCACTTTGCCTCTTAGCACACATAGCTATGCTTCTATTTGTCTTTCCAACTAGATATGATCTACTCACATTATTTGCCTTTGTTTTACTGTAATGTCTAACATAGTGCTTTCCAAATCACAACACTAACACTCAGGGAATGACTGCTTAATAAAAGTCATTCCCTCATAATGCTTCCATAGAGGGAATAAAGATAGCCAATTGTTTGATGATTTATTCACACTCTGGGTGTAGAAGCAAGGCAAAGACTACCTACATAATTCTGCAATACCTGTTTCAGTAGCCTCTACCTTTGTTTCTTACACTTGCTCAAATCAATCTCTTAAATTTCCTATTGGAGAAATTAATTTGTCTTGTCATCTCAGTGTTTTGTAACCTTTTTTTTAAAAAAAAATACCAAAAACTAAATCCCCGCATATACACATACACACACAGACACACACACAACACACACACACTAAAAGAATACTTATCTCCATGTAAGGGCTTTATAGATATGGAAAGGTTTTTTATTGTTTCACTTTGGTTTTGTTTTTGTTCTTCAACTCTGAATATCTCTTCTGGTACTAAATAAAATGCCCTTTTGTAAATGTAGTCATTTATTGTCTCTCTAGCACTCCTTAAATCTCAGAGGTCCTTAGCCCTTGGAATCCCAAAAGGCTGCAAATACTCTCCAATCCAATTATAGAATCTGAATTGACATATGAATATAGGCAGTGCTATTTTCATCCTCTTCTTTAAAACTTAAAAGATTTGGACATCTAAGCCTCCAAATAAATGATTTATGAAATGTGTCATACATTTTCTTTAAGTTCTTTAACCTTTCAGGACCAATGTCATTGCTTGTCCAACTGACTTTTGGCTGGCTCTTTCAACATTCAAAAGATCTACCAGACAAAGTCATCAAACTCGAAGTCACATGTCAGCTTCCTTGATCTTTTGGACTTAAGTGCATAAGTGTTTTTTCTTTGTCAGTAACTATCTGAAGAAAGAAATATTTTCTACTAAGATTTTAAGCTTGGATACATTATCATAGCTTTTATTGTTAGGGAAAAGATTCTTCACCAAAGTACAACTACATTTGTTCTTTTCTTGGATTGAAAGAAGCCTCCATTCTGAGTGCACATGCACACACAAATACAGACACATATGCACACACCACACCTTAATATATAAAATGGAAGTGCTGAGAAGTCAAGAAACAGAACTTAATGAGAAAGAGGTAAGAGATACACTGATTTATCTTAAATAAATGATGATACTGAGAACAATTAGAAATTTAGGAATGAGATGGTCTATAATACCAAAGCAAAAAGCACATTCTAGAAAAAGTTATAGCTTGTGAGAAAACTAAGAAACAGAGGAGAATTAATCCATGTCATAATTTGTCAAATATTTAGAGCCTCTTATGTGCCCAGTACTTTTGTGAAAGATGAGAATCATTTAGAATACATTGTTATGGATCTTGCCTCACAGAAACAGTTTATGTTAGAATATGCAATATCTACACAGACAAATTAAATATAAGACATTGTGGCATACATGCATGATTTTAATATTTCCAAGTGTTAGGAAGAGACAGAACATCCAGGTGGACTCCAAAGGTCTGGACAGTTTATTGACAAACAAGGAGCATGAAGAAGTTGTAAATAAGGATCACATTTGTATAAGACAGCATAAAAAAAGGTGTAAAATATCTTTTGTAATTTTGTATTTGTATTTTTACCTACTGTGGCCTAAAATCGAGGATATCTTTGCATGTAACCAAATTCTTGTGTGAGTCACAAAAAAAGAAGCTAAGAATTTAGGGGGATGATAAAACCTGTTTGATTCATAAAACTATGATTGAAATTAAACAATATCCTCTTGATCTTCCACATCTTTGAGTGGCTTAGCTATTTTCCTACTTCTTTGTCCTTTTTTCTTATCTCCCTAATTTTAGGATTAGAAAGAATAAAGCTCATACAAGTATTGTAAAATATGATAGTGCAAAAAATGGGTAACTAGAATTAAATTATTCCAGAAAAGTTAGATATGATAAATCAGTTTTACTCCAAGTAGCATAGAACTATATTTTAGTCTCTTGGGAAAGGTGTACAGACAAATAATCTTTTGGTAAGACAAAGATGGGATGGAATAAAATGTGGTAGGTAGAAAATAGTTTGGAAATTAGAAGGCTTAAATTCTAGTACTGATTCTAGCACTTGTGTAGATTGTTTACATTTTTTTGACTTATTCAGGTCAAATTTTGAGCACATAATAAACTACCAGTTATATGCTAAGGATTTAACTGCTAATAAAACACATTGTGCTTGCCCATAAAAACCTTATAATCTGTAAAAGAAGTCAAATATATAAGAAGATGAGTTCAATTCAGCATGTCACAGGTTTCTCTGCCCAGGAGAGGGCATTCTGTGTGCTTTTCCCACCTTGTGAGACAAAGACAAAGACATGCATGGTGTCTGCCAGTCCTAGCCTAGGACTTCCTGCCCTACCCCTACCTTAAGGATCATCAATCTGTTTTGTTTCAAATGCAGGAATATCATAGCTTTGTGACTCAGATTTTATGCATATTCTCCTTTCCATCTCCATAAATGCACAGAACAACTGTAGTAGAATCAGAAAAAAAAGAACCCCAAGGCTAAAGACTCACTGGATGGGAAACAAAGGATAGATTCACTGAAGAACCCTGATTTGACCAATTCTCCAATGTATACATATGTCAGTGCATAATATCTTAGCCTATGAATAAATAAAGTTATTCTTTGCCAATTAAAAATAAAATAGTTTTAACAAATGTGAAAATGACAATCCTTTAATATGCATAGTTAAATGCATTCACTCAATTACAAAAAAAGAATTGCAAGGATAAGAACACATGAATCAATTGTAGGGGACTCTGTTGTAGTTCAGTGATCCAGGGGTTTTTCATGTTCAGATATCAAAGTTGAATATTTGCCTCTCAAATCCCATAACCATGGACATGCAAGAAAAATGCAAAAACAGCTAACAAATGGACTACATTTAATATGTGTTAAGTGCTGTTACAAGCACTTAATAATAATTAATCCTACATTATACTCTATTATTATTTATGTTTTGCAAATTGAATCACACTGAAGTTCATAGCTTTAAATGGCAAAGGCAAGATCCAAACTCTAATGTTTTGTCTCCTGAGTATGTTCTCAGGGGCACAGTACTTTAATGCCTCTATAATAATGCTACTGAAGCGGATTGTGATAATTCTGAAAGAAACCAACATACCAGGACAACATATACATGAAGAATGCAAAGGAAAACATACAGTACAAGAAAAATTAAAAAAAGTTTAAAATTTTCTTTTCCTGATTGAAAGTAATATTCCTAAACTAGGAAATTTTTCTCACTTCATTAAATAGGTTTTTTGAAATATTGAATTGGTTCCTCAATTATGTGGATTAATAACATCTCACAAAAATCATCAAAGAAAATATCCATATCTAAGATAGATTAGGAAAGAAAGAGATTAATACTGAGTTTGGTAATATGCTTAAAGTGAAAGCATTAGGAAAATGTTCTATAACAATGATGATATAATTTTGTTTCTCCCAAATTCACTCAAAGAAAGAAGTTACCCAGATGCGAGGCTTCAACAGAACCACTGTGGTTATACAGTTCATCCTGCTGGGTTTCTCCAATCTTGGGGAACTCCAACTGTTCCTGTTCACCATCTTCCTTCTCTTGTACTTAGCAATCCTGGTGGCCAATGTAACCATCATGGCTGTTATCCACTTCAGCCGCACTCTACACATTCCTATGTATGGTTTCCTCTTCATCCTTTCATTTTCTGAATCCTGCTATACTTCTGTCATTATTCCTCAGCTGCTGATCCACCTGCTCTCAGCCACCAAGACTATCTCCTTAATGGCCTGTGCCACCCAGCTCTTCTTCTTCCTTGGCTTTGCCTGTACTAACTGCTTTCTCATTGCTGTGATGGGATATGACCGCTATGTAGCAATTTGTCATCCTCTGAGGTATACACTCATCATGAACAAAAGGCTAGGATTGGGTTTGGTTTATCTGTCAGGAATCACAGGTTTTCTTATTGCTTTGGTGGCTACTAACCTTATCTATGACATGCCTTTTTGTGGTCCCAATAAGATCAATCACTACTTCTGTGACATGGCACCTGTTATCAAATTAGCCTGCACTGACACCCATGTAAAAGAGCTGGCTCTATTCACCCTCAGCATCCTAGTGATCCTGGTGCCTTTTCTGCTAATTTTCATATCCTATGGCTTCATAGTCAACACTATCCTGAAGATTCCCTCAGCAGATGGCAAAAGGAAGGCCTTTGCCACCTGTGCCTCACACCTCACAGTGGTCTTTGTTCACTATGGCTGTGCATCTATTATCTACCTTCGGCCCAAATCTAAGTCTGCTTCAGACAAGGATCAGTTGGTGGCCATGACCTACACTGTGGTTACTCCCCTACTTAATCCTCTTGTCTACAGTCTGAGGAACCAGGAGGTGAAGACTGCACTGAAAAGAGTTATGGGAGTAACTGCAGCTACGAAGATGAGCTAAAAATAAAATTAAAATTAACTAGAAAAGTCACAGACGATATCAAAGGCTTATATCTTTGTCTGACTTTTTAGATACTGCTTGGATAGTGTTGGACAGTGTTTATACCATCCCAGTAGAATGTGCAAGTCAATCTACATGCTGCATTGTCCAATGCCTGAATATAAAAATAAAAAGAAACTTCACACTTGGCCAAATGAGGTGGTAGGTGGTGAAGAAAAGCATGAGAGTTTTTTAAGGAAAGTCACAACCAAAGTGAATATACATCCAAGAATTACTTCCCTGGTTTGATAAGTAAAACGGTTTAAAAAGACTGAGAATGAAGAGGAAGATAGCCTTGAAACAGGGTTGTAAAACATGGTAAACTGTCAATTAAAAGCTGTAACCTCGGACAGAGCTGTGAGGAATTGCCCATTAGAGCCATGCAAAAGTTTGGGACCAAGATGAAAGGCACCATGCAGAGAAAAGCACCCATTCCTGCCTTCCTTTGTCTCCACTTGTAAATAAACTTTCCAAAGCAGGCCTCCCCCGCTGCTCTTATCTAAACCTTAGGTCTCTAACCCACTACTAGCCCTACTTTATGGGAGAGCACATTCCTTGTAACCTGATACCCTGCACTGCCTTTTAAATATCCTGTGAATCCTTTGTTCGGGGCTCAGACACTGGTACACGTCTGGGCCCGCTAGCGTGAAAATTAAAATCTGAGTTCTCCACTCCTCCGAGTGTTGCTTGGTTTCTCCTCTGACAATATTGCCACAACAAGAGCATCTTATCCAAGGCAGAGACATTTTTCTAGGAAAACTACTATGTGCCAGGTCGAATGAAAACAGGAAGTATTCTTAACTTTCTTTTCTTTTCAGGGCGAAGGATCAAATCTAGGGCCTTGTGCATGCTAAGCAAGTACTTTACCATTGAGCTACACCCCCAGTCTCAAAAAAGAAAAATTAGGATATATAAATAGATAGTTTATGGAGTTGAGGGAGTGGGCAGGTAAAAAGATAAGTACATTAATACAAGATAGTCATATACATTGAAAGCATAAATAAAAGGTTATGAGAATTTTTTAATGAGTATTCTTTCTGAGAGAAAGAAAGGATAATGTCACGAGAAGGGAAGAGAAAACTTGAAGTGAGCTTTAAGTAGAAAAGAAAGCATCAATGCTAAAGAACTGGGCTTTTCTAGGGACAAAAACATTTGTCAACATTACTAGAACAATTGATCTTTTTAAAACTTCAAGCTAGGTTTTATTGTGTTAATCATAAATTAACGGCTTCATTTTTTGCTTTATTTTCATATAGTGATATGCTTAAGTATTTCCAAGGACATAATTTTATTTAATGATGTACTAAAATTTATCAACAATGATGACACCCTCATGCTGTTTAAGTGAACATAGCACTGAGAAGGTAGACATGGCCCTAATCTATCACTCTCTATAATGGTAAAAATACACCAAGTGAATCTAGCATCTTTCTTGTGATGATTTGGATTGTAATCACTGGACAGAATTGATTTCAAATCCTAAATCTATTATTTTGAAGCTGTGATATTGGAGATATGTTATTTAAAACTACTGAAACTAATGCAACTTAAACTTTGGAGTTTTCTTTTTTCCTTTTTTTTTTTTAAGTGAATATGTAACTTATCTAGTTAGCATAGTTCATGGCTTCCAATTAGTGAGTTGATTACTGTTGATTACTTTGACTGTGTGACTGTAAAAGTGACATGTATACAGGCAAATAGATTTGTGTAACAAATTCAGCAACATGCTCTGTTCCTTCAATAAAGTGCCCTGATTCCCATGGCACAATGAGTACTCACATCTAACACATTGTTTGCAAATATGCCTGCATATTTCAGCCCTGACAAGTTAAATCATATGTGTTTGTTCTCAAAAACCCTTCAAAAGAATTGTATTTATTACTCAATTTATTCTACTTGTGAAATGTAATTTTTCACTATGTAACATGGTGAAATATGAATACAAAAATATCATTTCTAATAGAGCTAAGGTAAGTGTTTTTGAAAGACTAAATTGCAACAAAAAATGACATCATAATGCTCTAAAGGTGTCATTTATTTGGAATATTTTGCAAGTGTCTCTAAATTCCTGATTGTCTTTAAATTTGTCAGAATTGGGATGAGTGTAGAGCTCAGCAGTAGAGGCTTATTTACATGCCCAAAGCCCTACCTTCAGTCTCCAGCCATACATAAGTAAATAAATAACCAGAATTTAGGTACTGCATTGTGGCTGGGCTTATATTGGGAGTATACTGAGGAACTTCAATCAAGTACTACACTGCTCAAAATAAACCTTTATCTATAAAATAAGTTATCAATAAATGTATGTACTTTTTTAAATTTTTGAGTTGAAGTAAAACATTCTCTATATATGAGTATCCTTTTCCTTCTCAACTAATCAACAGATTACCTGAATTTATTATAGTAAGTGAGTGGCCTTCTACTGTATATTTTCAGCTATGTAACAAAATATATTACTAAAAATGAAGATAGGGATATAAAATACAATGAAGTTAGATGTTGAAATATAAAAGGTTCTTTTGAGTTTTATCCCAAAAATACATGTATTTTTGCTATTTTTAAAAAATGATTCCCCTTTGTATAGTAAAATCAGTTATTTTTGTAATAAACTGAAAGAAACTAAATAATAAAGGAAAAGTCTCATGCTATAACACAGATGATTTCTTTTAACAAGAGGTTATTTTATTAAATAAAATCCCCTGGTTTATTATGGTCTTTGGTAAGACTAAATGGCCAAGGACACCATCAAATATCTGATACATATAACCACAAAATTGAGTACCTCTACTAAACTTTAGTCATGAGTTGAGGGAAATGTACATGACTGGGATAGAGAAACCCAAACAAAGAAGCACTCATTCTCCTACAATGCTTTTCTTTCAATTTGGAATCTTAGCACTAAAGATAATTCCCCATAACCAAATGACTGGGCATGAAAATCCCTAAGCCCAATTTCCAAATAGTTCTGCTTAATACAACAGGACCAAAAGGAAATCAACTCCGTGGTCACTCAGAGATAGACCTGAATCACCAGAGGACAGATCTTCAAACACAATGTGTGTTTTCCCATTTTATTTAGATAAAGAGAAAACCAGGGGTCAGAATCACCTGAAATCCAGCGAAGTTCCTATGGTCTTGCCAAACTATAGAAACCTTGGGGGAAAGTCAGAGAGTTTTGATAATAAGAAATTTGGGAAAACTAAGAGGAAAAACTTCTAAGAATAGTCTTTTAATACAAAGATCATTGTATCCACATAAATGTACGGTAATACCTCAAAGCACAAAATGAGCTTAATAGTACTGTAAATAGGATAACATACTCTGAAACTATCACTCACCCTCCTTTTCAACCATATTAATGGGACTGATAGACACTGTGGTCATGTTGACAGTGGTGGTCTCTATCTATGCACTCAACAGTATTTGTTTTGCATCATAAATATTCACTGGCTACTCTTCATTGCTACATGCCAACATTTATTAACACTGAATTTATATTTGTTTTTTCTGTTTGTCACAATTCTGCCTTACACTTGCTGGAAGGAAACTATTTGAAACTCAGTATTATGCCGGCATTGAGAAACATCTAAAAACAGAAATATGTCATCTAGTGGAAGAAATATATAACCTGAAACAGTCATTGAGATATGTTGGGTTTGTAGGAATTCTAGGAGTAAAACAGAGGAATTGATCCTTAGTAGTTAACCTTCAATTTCACATGAATTATGTTCTTCTTGATATTTTCCTTCTACTCCAATTCACTTCTCTACTGGTCTATAAAATTTGGGGTCCAAAGAAAGATTACTTCCTCAGTAAAGGAATTATTAGATCAATGAGAGCAATTCATCATTTCAGATTTCCCAAGCTATTAAACAACAAGGAAATAAAGGAATTAAGAGTGCTGCTTAGTTTTATTTGCCTCACTATCAGAGGGAAACAAAGTAAGAGGTATATTATGAAATAAGAAGACAGCTTAGAATGTTGACAATCTTTTTTCATGCCTTATTTTACTATCATAAAGGAATCCACCAACAGTCTCAAAAAGGTAGTTACTCCCAGAGTTCTGATTTCTCAGGAGGAGGGCTTTAAATGCTAACCAACTGCTGGGCTAAATGAAGTAAGGGAACATAGCAATAGAAAATGAGTAGATTAAATATAAATAAATAGCAATTATATCACTGTATTAGGTGATATAGTTGAGGGTTCTAGCTTGTAATAATTTTTTAAATGTAATTCTTTTTTGTTGCTTCTGTATTCCCTGCTGTTTTATTAATGGTAATGCTTAAACAGTCCAAAGACTGTATAAGACTGCAATGATATTTTAAATACCCCCCTATTTCTCAGTAAAGCCTCCCTGGATACCATATCTAAAATCATCACTCTCAACACCTCTACTGTTACCTTACTCTACTTTTTTCCATAGCACATATTGCTTTCTCCATATTATGTAACTTACTAATATATCTTACTTATTGCTTTTTTCCCTCTTCACTATGTAGCAAAGACTGAATTCTTTTTATTCACTCATCTATCCTTTGAATTAAAAAGTGCCTAATATTCTGTAGGTGTTAATTAAGTAGTATTTTGTTACATTAAGCATGGATATTTTGAGGATCATGTAAAAGAAAAAATGTTTCTGCATGTTTCAACACATGTATGAATGCTTTGAAGTATAGAAGTAAGGTCTAATGGATAACTATTATTTTTATGTGGTCAGCACCCTCCTTCAGGAATTTTTCTCCCTCTGACTCCATTTATATCACCTTGACTACAGGTTTGGGCTTGCAACCCCAAAGGCAAATCATTTTCTCTCCCCAAAATTTAAAATCTTGAGGAGAAACAGGGAGGATTGGTAATCATCCAATGATTAGCAAAAGAGATAATTAACAAGATCCTACAGCTGAGATTTCTTTCATTGTTTTTTCTTCACAAGACCTGGTTTTGGGGCTATTTTTTCAGGT